AGCGAGTGGAGTTGATGGTTTGGGAAGGGGTGCTTTTCAGGCTCTTGGAAGGAGCCTCGCCACAAGTCCGTGGAGCTGCATCAGCCCTTGGTCTTCGTCTCCTTCTCGGGAGGTCCCTCCTCACCTGAGCTCTCGCCCACCTCAGGTTGCACTCGCCACTTTTGAGCCAAGTTTGTTTGTCAAAGTGATTACGTTTGGCTTATCCAGACTTGGAAGGTTTCCAGGGACAGCAAAACCCAAAGCAAAGCCTGAGCAAGGAACCCAGATCCCATTATGGATGGGGAAGTTCAGCAGTTTGGTTTTTCTATCAATGGGATCTGTCTTCTTCCTCTCCTCTTTTTTTCAGGTTTTCGTCGACTTCTCGGCAGTATCGACCGCAGCGTTTCCTGGGTTTGGTTTGTCTTGACACAGTGCTGCTTTTGCGCTCCTCTGGTTTCTCTTGCTCATCTTGAGAGTCATCTTATGCGTAATCAGGGTCACTTCTGGCCTCGGCAGTTTGCACTTCTGGTTCAGATGCTGCGTAGCCCCCCCAGACCCGCCTTTTGTTTCTGTAAAACTGTTTCTGCAGAGTCTGTGTGTGGACAGATGTTTTGGCTCTTACTATCCTGACACGATATGTGTTTCTGCAGTGAGAGTGAGCTGTGAGAACAGGACACGGGGGGGTTGGCGTGCCTTAAGTCCGTGTGACCTGGAGAAAAAGGGGTTTCAACCAGCTGAGGCACACTGGGGGATCAGAACCTTTTTGGGGGGCCAGGATCTAAGGCAGAGGGTTCGCAGGAGGTACGAGATCCAGCCCAGCTCTGCTTCCTCTCGTTGCTGCTGCTGGATGCAGGCTGTAGACCTGTGACAGGGAACAGCAGAAAACCTTTTGCTCCTTCACATGGTCCAAAAAGGTGTAAAAATGACCTGTCTTGCAGCAAAGGGATTTGCTCTGGTCTTCAGATCTCCTCAGTTTATTTCAGGGGACTTTGAAACAAGTGTGTCTCTCTCTTTCTTTGTCTGGGAATAGCAGGAATGACAAAAATGTGTTGTAAACATATTTGCTTCGTCGCCCGGCAGCCGTTGGGTCCCTGTCCCTTGGTGCGTAGTGCTCGGAGCCAGGAGCTGGGACAGCATGCGGGGAGCGAGCGGTTTTGTGTCCGGCAGTGCCGACTGTAGCTCACCAGCTCCTCCTAGGCTCACCAAGTGTTCAGCTCTGCAGAAAAACTCCGTCTGTCGAGGAAAAGTGTTCGTTGAAAGAATAGAGAAAGGAGGAATTGAGCTCTGGGCTGATCCCAGCGCCAGTTCCTTGTTCGCTTCGTGGTGTCAGGGTCTGATGGGTGAGGCAGAGGCAAGGAGCATCTGGTGGCTTTGCTGGCAGGGTTGGAAGGAGGGAGCAAAGGGTAACATTGGAGAGGCAGCAAATCTGGGACAGACACACACGTGGCAGCGTTAGCATCGGATGCAGCAGCTTCCCCGACCCCTTACTTTTACCCTTAGGGACTAGAAGTGACCCAGTTTTGCCTGATTGGAGAGCTGAGATCGCCCAGCCTGCCTGCGACTTGTCTGTGTCCCACAAAAGGGCTTTCCCTGCCCTGACTGCTCCGACCCTTGAGACCTCATAGCACCATCAGGCATCACGAGGTACCTCAGACCTTGCTGGTGACAAGTGGGGGGGGATGCAAAGAGCAGCTTTTCTCCTCGTCCCTCTGTGCCTCAGTGCTCCTGATGTCATCAGTGCTGCCCCGCTCCAGCATCTTCCCATCTCAGCTCCCTTCCGCTTGCAAGTGTTTAGTGCCTTGAAAAACCTGCAAACCCGTGAAAACGTGGTTGTAAAGCTCCAAACCTGGGCAGCAATAATCGGGGAACAAGTGTTTGACCATACCTTAACATTTTATTTTTTTTAATCGACAGGGTTGCAGCTTTCCCGTGTCCCCCTTCAGGTGTGTTTTACCCCAATAGTGTTCGATACCTGCACTGCTGCTGCAAAAGCAGGTCCCAGAGCAGGTTTCAGGTCCCCGTTTCTCGTGCTAACAGCAGCCCTGCTTGCAGGGAGGGAGACAAGTGCGAAGCAGGAATCCTCCCGGCCTGGACAGGCTGAGCCCGCAATGAGGAAGGTAGCCAAAGATCCAGCATAGCTAACACATCTCCCCCTGCCAGCCTCAGGCAACGGGGGACTTCTCTGGTCCCATCCCAGTGCAGTGGATGGATGTCCCAAGCCATAAATGTGATTTTTTTGGGCACATGGGTGAGGTTCATCCCTTGTTGGGGTCGCAAAAGGTGCCTGGCAGAGCTGATGCTGAGGAGGTCTTAAACCTCAGGGGGCTGAACATTGCAACGCTGGGGTGGCTGTCACTTTTCCAGCAGAAGGGACAGGTTTGGTTTTTAAGAGGTGACTTCCCAGGCTTTTTGGACAGGAGGGTACGTAGAGAGAGCATTTTCCACCAGCACTTTCTCCAGCACCTCCATGCCGGTAGAGCAGCCATGCGTGGATACATTGGGCTGCCCAAGTAATTAAAAGCCAGCTGCCGAAAAGTCAGGGTTGATGTGGTCTCCTCTCCCGGAGCCAAGCTGCCCATGCCGCTCCCAGGGAGCCTTTGGGCTCCGAGGCGTGGAAATCCCCGCTGAGCACTTCACACAGCTCCAAAGAGCCGAACGGCTGGTGGGTTTCTGCCCCACATCATCTCCTCCTTCCTCATCGCTTCTCTTGGAGGCGGTTTCTTCTCTAGGTCAGCATGGCAGTAACTGTAGAGGATGTGCTTTAGTTTTGGTGGTAGTTAGGGGTTGGTTTTGGTTGGAAAGACAGACTTTCTGGCAGGTCGGTGATGCGGGGTCCCCCCCCAGACCCGTGAGGATGGGTGAGGGTGAAGGTGGCTTTTTCTTATGCTGGTTGAACTCTCACTTGAAGGCTTTGTGGATGTCTTTGGATGGGGCAAAGAAAGCCAACCTGATTTCTTCTCCAAGATCATTTCTCCCGCTTTTCAGAGGCTCCTGGGGGCTGGCAGCCACCTGGCCAGCTCCACTCAGCAGCTCGCCGGGCACCTGCACTTTCCTCTGCCATCCCTCAGGCTTCAGCCGCGGTGCCTTAACCGAAACCCCGGTTAGTGCTGGTGTCAGTCCCGTGGCTTCCCGCGTGCTTTTCCCCAAAACCCATCTCTGCGGTAGTGGCGTTTGGATCGGTTGGGATCTCCATCCTTCCTCCGTGGCCTAATGGATGAGGGGAGAGCGATATAGGGGCTCCTCGCAGGAGCGTGGGAAAGCCCTGCTGCGTTTATAAAGGTCGCATTTAGATTGCGCTTGGGTTGGGGAGAGCCCAACTCGTGGCATCGGCCATTGGGAGTCGGGGGTTTTTATGGATCCGTCTTTGCTGTAATGTCGAATAGAAACAAATGGCTGAAAAACACATCCCAGGGCAGCCGTTCCCCTGCCCCAGGGCAATGCTGAACCCCAGGAGGGCTCGTGATGGAGGGGAGCGCTCCCTCCTCTCCCTCGGTGGAGATGAAGATCTCCTCATTGGCCTCCAAACACTTCAGGACTTGGGGAGGTTGGGGGGTTTGGTGCCACCTTTCCCCCCCCACCCCCCAAACTGGTCCTGGATTTCAATGGCTTAGTCGGGAAATATGTCATCTTTGGACTTGTGGAGCTGTTTTTGTTTGGTG